GCCCTGCCTCCCCCACTCATGCTTCTAGCTGTGGAGCTCCAGGATCCTCAGCCACTCCCCTGATGGCCAGCAGCCTGACTCCTGGGTCATCCCATAGTTTCGAGAAGGGACATTTTAAGCAAGTGAGATTGGAAGTAGATAGCAGCAGCTATTGACCTATCCACGTAATGTGGTGGGCAGGGCTTTCAGCTGGAACAGTGTCTACTGCCGGCCAGAAGGCTCCAGGGTACAGTTTGGGAGCTAATCACTCATGACCCTGACATTGGTGTTATGATTAGACCTGCCCGTTGGAGCTTCAGTAGCCTAGTTAATCCTAAAGGCATGCCTAGCTGTAAGTCCTTCAGGGCAGATGCTTTATAAGTCCCTATTCTGAGGGCTTTACCTGAAAACTTAGAGAACCCCTGGGCTTAAACCTCTCAGGATCACTTTCAGTTCTGTGCATCTCTGGTAGGGATCTAGAATTCCTATATCATCTTTTTCTTATAAAACATCTCTTGAAAGCCATTTTTTATTACAAAGTTAATGCTCACTCATAGGAAATCTCAAACACGCCAAAATGTCCAAAGTAGAAATAAAAACCATCTGCCATTTCCTATTTCTAAGCTAATTATTATTAGCATAATGCTTTTAGAACATTTTTCTAAGCAGATAAATTCTATATCTCTTTCTCTAGTTATGCAAAGTTGGAGACATACTGTGTACAAAGTATCACCTGCTTTTATCATTTAGCAGAATATCATGGGCATTCTTCTAGATCATTTACTCTTTTGTAATAAACACCTTAATTTCCATCTGCACATCAAACATTTGAAGCATAAATGTATTATCCCAAAGCATTAAGAGTGTAGAATATTGTATAATATTTAATGGAAGTAAGTTTAAAAGAAAAATGCATTCAACCAGCATCCCAAAGCTTATCTTAAATTAAAAAAGCAAATGTCTCAATCTGTGCCAAGAAGGTGTAATTCCTCAAAGGTCAATATGGGAAACAATTTCAGTTACTGTATTGAAGGTGGAGAAGGAGGTGTTAATAGGCCCAGGTTCTTAGGTTTAAGGGAACATCTTAAACACAAGAGCAAATGGGTTGATCTTCTTTCCTGAAGACTGGAAGTAATATGGTCCGCAGGACTGATGCTATCTGTTCTGCACCTGCTGGTCATCTTTCAGATGTTATTAGGAAGGAGTGTAGCAGGTGGGTTTGGAGTATGAAGGTAGGCCCTGGGGATGACGTCAGTCTCTAATTTGTCTTATGACTTATTTTTGATGCAGGGGCCATGTCAAAGTGTGTTCAGATATTTGATTTGGTGTCTTTTTGAGCTCTAAGAGTGGAGTGGCAATAAATTGGAGACTTTTTAGTGAGAAGGGTATTGGTTTATACAAGGAAACAGTGAAGTGGAACTCCATCATTTCAGTGCTGTATGAGCTTGAAATCCTATCTTCAGCTATTTTGTTGAGCATATATGCCTACAGTAATAGGATTTGAAGGCACATATTGAAATCATTCTCAGTAATATGTCCTCTCTTTGTTCTTTTTAGTGCATTGTCATTGGGCAGAACTGGATCCTGAAAAATGCAAGATGCTAAGCACCTACACTACTTTAAGAATTTGGAACTGCAACATGAAAAGGAAGACAGAAATAAGAAATTGGGAACCTGATTAGCCCTGCAAAAAACACCAAAGGACCATTTTATCATCTTCTGTTGTTGCTGTGGTCTAAGGAGGCAGTGGGCGCTGCCAGTGTGGAAATGCACGGGTGGAGGGTGCACCCTGGGCCCCTGCAGAAAGGGTTTTCTGCTTCTTCCCACCTCTTGGCTGCTTTTGGAACAGGCTAGCCCAACCTTATTTTTCATCAAGTCCACTGTGGTGTCCATGGGGGTCTCTAATACATGCTGTCCATGTCCTTTCTGACACTGGTTTGTAAGCCAGGGCTCATGTTGAGGTATAAAGAGAACAATCATTGATGATAATGTGTTGTGTGAGACCTTTGCATCTTGTAAATTTTCTCTTTTTTCTAAAAATAAATGATAATAAAATTCTAAATCTCAACAAACCACTTTATTATCAAACACATTCTGCTGTGTTTATGCGTAATGATATGGTCTACAGAGATGCAGTGTGTCTGACCTCTCCCTATATAAATCTGTGTTACTTTTCAAGTAACCTTCTTGCAAGAGGCCTTCCCTGACTGGCCCACACAGGCCTCTTATGACACGGTGACAGCCTATCTCATTTACAACTGATGAAGTTTGCTTGGAAATGAGATGGAGATGGAAAGGGAATCCAGTTTTTAGAGTGACCAGACCATTCTCTCTGACCCCAGAGATGGGATTGCATCTGGCTTATCCACCTTTGGGAAGTGGGAGGAAGGTGGGCTTTACAGATACCCTTTGTCCACTAGCTGTACAGTTGTCTGCATATCCAAGTCAATATGTCCAGCATTATGGGAAGAAGGAACCACATTCAGCCAAAGTAGTTTCTCAGCTAAATTTCAACCTACTAATGGCACATTCATAGTCATCATTTTTGACATTATATATTGTCAAGTTTTATTTATATACAATATTAATGCTTACATAGAGTTATTGTCTCTTGAAACTTTTTTGCCTAACTATAAAAGAGACATCCTTATTTGTCATTTTTGTAATGCTGAAACTCTGTCTTCCATGACCTTTATAATAACTTCTAAGTCCCTCTAGTCTGACACAATTGTTCACTTCAAGTAGAAACATATTAGAATATGTGAAAAACAAAGCTCATATCACATCTCCAATGTACATCCAAGTACATGGAATACAGAGTTGGAAAAGGATCTGCTGGGACACTTTGTTGTGAACCAGTGCAGTTGGTTCAGTATAATCCACCATGGTTTAAACCTCTCGATGTGAAGTCATGACATCCCAAATGAAAACCCTGGTCAGCTCCCTCATCCCTATGACAGCGAGGTCCAAGAAACCCTCCTGTTTGAGCTATCTAAGTAGGGTTTTCCAGAGAGAACTCAAATTCACTTTGAAGATACTTGAATCTACACTTCCATAAACTCCTTGACATTCGATCACCACCAGTGAAGTCTTACTGAACAGCTGCAGCCTGTCTTTGTAGTCAAGGGTGAGGACCACATAGAGATACCTGCTAACGTACGTGACATTTGGATGGTGGTAAAATGATAAAGACCTTTGTCACCCACAGCCCTGTTCCAGGATCGCATTCTAAGGCGACATAGACAAACTGGGTATGAGCGGCATCATGGGGTCCAGTTGCTGAAGGGCTACTGAGTTTTCGGAGGGGACTCTAAATATTTGAAAGATGTAGAAGAGACACTGATCAGGAATAGAAGCAATGGGTATCAGTTGCACCCACACAGACACTAGCTTTCTGACAACATTGCTCAAAAATGAATGGTGATGTCAGGAGATTTTGGTGTTTCAGCAGAAATTCTGAGCCTACTTACGAGTATGTGAGGGAAGATATTTAATTAATTTAAAAACCGCCCTCACAGTATGCAGGGAACATGGTAAAAGTCAAAAAAAAATGTTGAAGGAAGCTTTTCCATCATCCTGACAACCACTTTCATTTCCTAGGATCAGAGAAGTAGCTGTGAACATGCTTGTCTGACCTAAGAGGATCTGACCACAGGGCAAGGTTATAGAGAAAAAAAGCCCAGAAGAAACCCTATCGCATCCATAGCTGCATCAAAAAGGTGGTGAGCACTTCAAGCCCAAACTTCTTCACCACCACTGTACAATGTAACTATGGAACCAAAAGCTATGTGTGCCCCCCAAAGCTATTGAAATAAAATAAAAGTGGTTAATTTCCACTTCTCCGGCCCTCATCTTTAGTCTCTTTCCGAATCTTACTGTGGAACTAACGGCTAAAATTAGATTTGGGGTGAAGTTTGACTCACAGAACATAAAACTCTCAGTCTTTACATCCCTCCAACTCCTGCTTTCTGCTTATTTATAAAGCTTGCTGTTTATTGTCCATTAAAACATCATTTGAATTTGGATGGGAGAGGAGAATCGTGCCATGTATGGCTTTTCTGAGAAGCCTTGGCAGACCACAGGCCCAAGACTTTAAACAGAGTACTGTGCCGATAACACTGTGTAGCCAGACCCGTTTAATCTTGCCTTCCGCAGTTTACTTTACAGGAGACCAAGCTCTTGTGGCTACACAAAACATAGACCAAATAAAGGCATCTTCGGGGGCTGGATGCCCTCAGCTGCACCTCACAGCTGGTGGTCCTGGAGAGGGCATTTTCTCCAGCAAGCGGTGTCCAGGTTTAAACGGGCACCAAATGGCATTTAGAGAATTTGGTATTTCATTGATTTGACCATAAGGAACAAATAGTTCCACAAACAGCCCTTCTTCTTTGACGTGGTATCTTGTTAGTTACTCCAAAGCCAGAGGGGTGATCTTTTTTGTCACTGATTTTATCAGATTTTCTGTCCCCTTTCAGTTTAATTTGGGTCCTTTAAAATGGAGTTAAGAACCTCACCTCAAAAAAAAAAAAAAGAATAACCTCATCTCAGGAAACAGAACAATATCATAAGTAGAGCCTTCCATAATTGCATTAGAAAAGAAAAGAGGCTGTGCTGTGTTTTCATTCTCTCTTGGGATACCGACACCATGTATTCAATTTTTAAAAGGTCTGGGAAACAAAAACCATAAATTTCCATCATGAAAGTATCTATTTGTGATGGTATTTTAGGTTTGTGAAATCTAAATTAATACATTAATTTTTAAGAGTTACTTAGTATTTGTAGGGGCCTTAAAATAATTTGCTTTTGAATCTTCCCTTAAGGGCAGGCAAGTTAAAGCTCTGTCACTGAGCAGGAAGTGCATTGGGGTGGTCTGTTGGAGGCACTGGCCTGGTAGCTCCCCTTCCTGCAGCAGGGAGATGGACTTGGACCCAGGTCTGGGTCTGAGGAGGCGGCCTCCCAGGGAGCAGAGGTCTGTAGAAAAAGGTAGAGTTGAACAGGGGCAGTGACAAGTACAGCTACCTCGAGGTGTGAGGGATGTTCAAACATCTACCAGCAGGTAGGTAGGACCAGACTTCTGGGGGAGGGGGTATGTACATAGAGGAGTATGGACAAAAACGACCTCACAGAAGAGCAGGGACTAGACGGTAGAGGTCTGGTGAGTCATGATAATGCGTTTAGGTTCCATTATGTCACCCTCCCTGCCTTCTCCAGGTTAATGTGTTCTGGCTTTTCAGCAGTTTCTCTTGTGATGTGACCATCAGCCTGACCCGTGGGAACTCAATACAACTCTGCTAGTGTGGTGTGACCCAGATCCTTTGATGTAGACAGTGGTCTTAACAGGTCAAGGGGCTGCATAGATGCAGGGTTGAATCCTGACCATGCTGTTGACTTGCCGCGTGGCCTCAGGACAGTTTGTTTATTCAGCCTTCTGAGTTTCCGCTCTCTCATCTGTCCAGTAGGTGCAGTGCCTGCTTCCAGGAGCAAGCTTGTAAGGGTTAAATGAAAGGCTCAAACCCAGCACAGCGGCTGCACAAGGTGGCACCCAGTGTAGACAGCATCCAGTATAGACAGCCCCCTGTAGCCACATTACATCTCTGGCTTCCACAGAGCCTGCAGGGGCTGAAACTCCCAGGCTCATTCCATGTTGCCACTGTCCTCTGCCAGGAAGGAGCGAGATGAAGACTTAATCGTAATCCTGCCAGGCTCAGCCTGTGGTCTGGTCTTTTGAAATATGTCCAGTGTCATGTTGGCTATTCCTCCATGTGTGTCATCTTCAGACTTGTTTTCTGCATCTTTAGGCCTTGGCTAAGCATGGTATCCAGGGTAGAGCTGGCACTCCACTCAAAATCCTCCATCCGATCAATAGGTGCATATTTATTGCATTCTCATCTCACCCACGCTCTTCCTTCCCACGCTGCCCATTCTGGCTAAAATCAAGCTATATTCTTTTCACAGGATTTTGATGATTAATCCAATGATCCTGTCAAAAAATATTAGTAGAGCACAATGCGTTATTTGCGAACTCATCCTGGCTTCCAGCGATCACCGTGTTCTTTTCCACAGGCTCACGGCCATCTGTCTAATCATCTATTCTAGAATGATTTCAGGGACCTGCATCTGACTAGGCTGTTTACAGCGTCTGGAATCCATCTTGCTGAAACTGGGATTTGGGGCATGTTTGGTGTTTTGCCCTCTCTCTTCTCTTCAGAATATTTTAAAAAGTTATCAGTGGTAACTCTGTTCTATGTACACATCTTCAAGTTATTTCAGAGTTTTTGGAACTTCAGTTTATTCGGAAAACCTCATACGCCTGTCCCCTTTTATGATGTCTACTTGGCCTTTTTCGAGTTTGATATATTTGCTTACAAGAGTTGATAAAATAATTAACCGAATTTAAGCCTTCACTATGGTCAGAAGCTGGTCTAAGCTCTTCACATGTGTCAGCTCTTGTCATCTTTGTTACCTTTTTATTATTCCCATTGTACAGTTGAGGATGTTGAGACTTAGAGAGAGAGAGGTGAAGTAACTCTCAGGAACTGTGAAGCCCACTGGTGTCCTGGGTGCTTGTGGGAGACTGGTGACCCTGAGTCAGGGACAGGGCTGAACTCCATACAGTGACCGCAGAAGCCAGTATCAGTGTTTTGTGTTTTTGCCGGCTTCCTAAACCCCAACTTCCCCAGGTGACATCTTTACCCATGGTGTATTGTGCCACGGAAGAATCCCAAACTTAGAGAACTCAAGTCTTCTTTAATGCCCAACCTTTGCTCTGGAGAGAGACATTGTCTGTCTTCCAAGGTTATTGACTGTATAAACATCCTTGGAAATCAGGTCTCGGAATAAGGCAATCGATACCACTGCTCACAAGATGTGAAGAAACAGAGACCACAGAGAAATGTCTCCCAACAGGAACGTAACCAAAATCATTCCATTAGGAGGTGGTGGAGTCAGGATTCAAATCCAGGCCATTGAACTCCAGGGCCTCCCCTGCTAACTCCCCTCCCATGTGCCACCCCCAGGATGGCCCAGTGCAGAATGGAGTCACTGAGCTGCGGCGCCATGTCTAACTGGTCACCAG